AAATTAACCCTGTCCTCTTTACTGGTATTATGAGCCATATCTAACAATATTATTTATGATAAAAATAAATTTTAAAAATGTATACGAAAATTTAAAAAATTATAAATCAAAATATTAAAAGAATAATTAAATTTACCAACAAATTTTAAAAATGCAAAAAAATACAATTATCTACCATCAAGCTTTTATTGGAAAAAGCAATGACTTGGACCCAGTGACGGATCTAGAAATTAAAATATAGGGGTTCAAAATTTTAATATTTTATTTTCCAAAAAATAGTATGTAAATTCTTTATTTTTTCATTCCCTTAATATACTAAACTATATTTAATAATTTTTCCAAAATAATGGGTATGCAATTGAACCCATCAAAACCATATACATCCGCCCTGTTTGGACCACCTGATTCTTTTATTTCACTGCTTTTAATTTTAAGTAATGAAATCTACGTCTCTTTGATGTGTCACCTCACATTTTTGGTAGTTACAACTCTTGTTAACATGTGACAATACGATTGGTATATCTCAACACTTTCATATGATTCATATTGCAGGTCGTTTTTAGTACAAAAATAAAATAAATAATTCATCTTTTTCAAGAACGGAATTAAGATTTTAGTTGAAGAAAGTAAAGTATAATTAACAATAAAAAAAAAATTAAATAAATCAAAACTCGAAGATTTAAATCGAAAGATGTTTGTTCAATGGTCGAATTTAATACATGATTAATCTTTTAATAGTGAAATTAATGTATTCAAATCACATGATTCCATTTTGATTGGTGGTATATCATTAACTTAATTATTATTGAAGTAAATATAAAGTATTAATATAAGATTTTCTTTTAAACTCAAATCGATTTGCGATAGAAAAATTCAAGTATCACTCTAAAAAATTGTTGACTTCAAGTACTAATGGACCTAATTGTTTACAATGGGATCATAAGCATAGGTTGGGAAGGATTCTCATCCGAATCCGAATCCAAACGAAGCAAGTAAATAAAGAAAGTAATGAGTAGGGAAAACAAATAAATTACAATTGAAACTTGCAATTAGGTTTCACATGGTTTACGTAATAAATTAAGCTAACGTCTTCTATGCACAAATCTCAAAGCAAGGTCCAAAGCCTTTGATCCTCAGTATTTGCTGCGAAAATATCGCTGAATCTGCACCCATTTTCCGACATTTTTGACTCCCGCTGAAAAGGGTGTAAACGGTGGCTTATTTCAACTCAAACTACCCATTATCAAATGTAGTTTAGCCCACCTAACTCACCGTGTTTGACCTCAATTTTCATAAATGTTTTATCGAAGATGTCATTTTGATAAATTTTTATTCATTATTCATTTAGAGTTTATAATTTTTGGATAACGGACAAATGACTTACATGATTTATCAAATGTAATTGACATCTATCATGATCGGAGTATGATGTTAGTTGTTCTATGACAGGGATATTTATACCGATGAAAGATTGAATCTTTAGATTTCATCTACACCGTATGTCTTTCATTAGATGCTATTTCTCTATCACATAATTTTTTCTCTCTAAATCGTGGTTCTCTATGCAAATCAAAAGAAATAAACCACTAACGAGGATGAATTATTTTCATCAGCGATAACATCAAACATTTATATTTAATTTCAAAATAGTATCAAATGAAATTCTTATTTTTTCTACAGTTAAGTTTGTGTTATTGTAATATAGCTTTCGTCGTCCTAGTACCAGAACAGTGTAATAATAGCAAAAGCATTATAGTGTCTTGCATGATTACATTGTGAAGGAAATGAAATTTTCATAAATGAAAATGGAAAGAAGTTATTTGGGGAATGCTAACGTGCTGCATCCTTAAATATGATTAAAAAAAACGTTATCGTTATTGTTTAAATAATAAAATCGTAAAAATGACCGAAACATTATTAGACGCTACCGGTTTTGTTATTATTAGATGTTTTAACTATATGTCGAAAAAATGACGGGAAACATTATTAAGCGTTATCGGTTATTATTCTTGGGCAATTTTATCGAAAATGTTTAAAAAACTGATGTTTTAGATAAAAATAATAATATTTTAATTAATTTTTTACCGATTTTATTATTTAAATAATAACAAAACTGATATCATATTTTTTAACCGTATATTAAGGTACAGCACTATAAAACTTTCCAAGTTATTTATATAGATATGTATTGTAGGCTTGGATTAGTAGGCTTAATCGTTTTGTATATCTGAACTCGAATTTTTTAAATATTTGTGAAGGGTTTTGCATGTAATTAAGGGACCAATGTTGTAAAGTGATGGCATGATTTTTACCACAATTTGGGGCTTTTATAGGTCTAGCATTTAGGAGTACTCAAGAAAGAGAGAACATTAGACAAAATGATGTAGAAACAATGATTTTTTTTTTCCAGACCTCATAATAGGCGGCAGAGAGCCTAAATTAAGTGGCCAAACATTTAGACGGTGGTGGATGAATAGTGGCCATTCATTACTTTCTTTTTAGACTTTAGAGAAAGTTGCATATAAAAAAAGAACACTGGCCAATAATCCTCCCCTTTCCCGGGAAAATCAGCTCGGCTTTCTAGGATGATTCACACTAATGCACCGAGACTCGTTCAAGGGGATTGATTTGCTTAGATGCTTGGCTTTTGACGGGAGAAATACATAGCAGGTATATAGGTAGGAAAAATTATTTTATGAATCTTTCAACCACGTAGAGATTGTTAGGGTATTAAATTCCATTAATTTATTATGATTTAATCTTAAAAAATTAAAATCCTTTTCTTGAAATTCAATTTTAAATAATTTTGTGAACAATAAATTCGAGTAAAATTTAATTTAAGTTTAAACTAAAATTTTATTGACGAGCACGATAATATAATATCTCTTTACATACATTTTATTTCAATTACTTTCCATTTTGTCAAATAAAATAAAAAATAGTTGCGTCTAGTCAGAATCATATTTTATTCTTAAAAATCAGCGGTGCTCATCGTTAGTAATATTCAGCGATGTTCGTCAAGCGTATAAGACTCATCCTAATATAAATTATTCTTTGTAGGTATCAATATGTTTTTTTTTTACACTTTTAGATTTGTATATCTGAAGATTTGAATACACTTTCTCAAAACACAAAAGGATACACCCTACTACGCCGATATCAATTTTGTCACGTAAATTGTTTACATGTAATTTTGTTTTACCTAAATTGATAAATGTACACTTGAAGATGGCAAATAAATAATAGTAGAGCTGAATATATTGGGTTTAGGGCTCGAATCACATTTCTTAACAGCCTACAATGTAACTTGTAAACAAACAAACAAAAGAGAAAGAAGGAGACCCTGCTCTGCTCTCCAATAACACATCAAAGAATGAATCATGGCTGCTACGCCTAAGCTAATTAACTTCACTAAACATACCCAACACTCTCACAAAATGCCAATGTAATCTCCGACGAAAGCGGGTTTTCGATCCATTTCACGACCCTTTTACCCAGAAACCATGGAAGAAACGATAAAGCTTCGGTTAGGGACGACGTTAAGCCTGCAATAGGGCAAGTGGTGCCAACTTTAAGCCATGCATCAATGCAGCCATCATGAAAACCATGGCCACACCTAGCCACCGGAGTTTTCCCCTTGGACACCCATTAATGCACACTACGCAACATTCACTCCACCACTCGCTAACCATTTGCTAAAACGAAAGCAGCCGCCGACGACAACGACGACTACAAGCGAAGCCGAGGAAACCGAGTTTACTGAGATCATCTTTGGTTAGTGGCATTCTCGGGTCTTGTTTGTTGTGTTTGCTATGGAAACGTAGAAGGGTTTTGAATCGAATTTTATGGTCGTGGGGTTGGACTGGTAATTAAGCAAGGTGGTGTGGTGGGAGCTGCTGCTGCCGTGTCAACGGTAGTGGCAGGTGCCGGATACGTTAAGGCAAGTAGATGGAACTTGGAAATGGGAAAGATTTATGTTATATTCTTGGCTTTGACTTATTTTTGTCCGCTATCAAACTATGTAGGATAGATGTTCATTCAAACAAACAAATTGTTTAACATTCACTTTCAATTACATAAGTGATTACATAGAATTAAATATTCAAATCTGTAATTTGTCTTCGTATAAATAATACATATTCAAACAATAGATATTTAGAAGTGTCTGTCTGTCTATATATTCTCCAAATATATAACGAATTATAGTTTTAATATATGAATTTTTAAATTATCTAAATCTATAATATCCAAATTTATTAAAAATAGATAAAATATCCAATATCGAAAGTAGACATTCAGAATTTTGTGACTAAGCATGAGCTCTTTCCAATTTGAATTAGGGGTAATAAATTAATTAAATTTCAACGAATTATGTTAGTTAATGTCCGTTATTTATTTTTAAAAATGTTTATGTTCGATTCGTATTATTTATGTATTTTTAAATTTTCTTGTTTGGTTCATTCATCAATGTTGTTGTACACTCTTTTTTAACCTTTTATTTTATTTGCTTGTTAAAGAAAAATGGTAAAATTCTGCTACTATTCCTTAAGTTCTTTAGACTTTACAATTTTAACTCAAAGTTCATCGTGTGTTTAATTTAATTTCTACAACCATCAATATTTAAAACGTAAAAGAAAAGAATCGGATAAACGAGTTTATAAACGATTCATAAATGAGTTTTCAAATATGTTTGTTTGTGATATAAACGAACCAAACATTTATTTATGCTCATTCATTTATTAAATAAACATAAAAAATTTATCTATACTTATTTTAATAAATAAAAAATATTATACGAAAAATTCATAAAACGCGTTGTTCATTTAAATACCTAATTTCAATAAACCTTTAAACCCAAAAAGTGATGATCTGAATGAAACCAGCCCATAAAATAAACAGCCAATGGAGGCTTTCAATAAGTGGGAAAATAAGACCACCGTTACTATAACCCAGCGACTGCAACAACAGAAGTGCATCTCTTTTTAACTCTCTGTGTGATTCTCTCTGTTTCAACTCAACTATCTCTGCATCTCAAATACCTTCCCTAAGACCTCTGTTCCTCTTGTGTTTAGGCTTATTGATACCGGTATTATCGACACTCAACATTCTAAAAGAATAAGAAGAAAACCTCCTGCTGGAATGTGGGCGTCTAGCTTATTTTAAATTTGTTGAGATAAGATTCCAAGTTCCGGGTTTTGATTCTTTAGGCTGAATGAGCTCCCATGCCTTTGCTAGGTATGTTCTATGTTTGGTTTTTCATTTACATTTGTAGGTTTAATTTGTAGTTGTTGAATTTGGTTTATTTTTATGGATTTTGCGTGGTTAGTGTTTAGAGAATTCTGGGTTTCGTTAATTATCCTGCTCTGGTTCTCAAATTTGGTTTTATCTTGGTGTTTGCGATTATTACTATTCTTGGCTGCCTGAAACAGATATTGCCACTGCTAAACCTTCCTTGCAAGGCCCTCTGGTTCCAGCGAGGGTTCAAGTTTTGTCAAATACATGGAAATCTTCCCCATTGCCAACGAGGATAAATTTTCATGTGGGGCACCAGGAGAACCACTGTGGAAAACTCCAGGTTCGAGCCGTTGCGACCCTCAAACCCAAGTTTCCGAAACAAGATGGCACAGCAATACGTCACAACTTGGAGGTAATTCAAGCCCTTCATCAAATCAGCTCGGCCCTTTGGAGACCGGAGACTCGGATGATGAAGTGGACGAGAGGGAAAAGTTAAGGCGGATGAGAATTTCTAAGCGAATAAAGGAAACACACCTTGGAACAAAGGCAGAAGCAGTGCAGGTAGTCTCCTTTAATTATGGTACTATATTTCGTTTTGTGCGTTGTTGATTTGTTGCAACAATAGCCACGGATGCATTGTGTCTTTATCTGCAAGACCTTCAGCGGATAAGGGAGAGAACAAGGCTTGCAATGCAGAATCCTAAGGTGATGTCGTGTAAGAACTTTTGTGTTATAACAGCACAGGGATGGAACTTTGTGTGCTTTATGTTTGCATGGAGCAAAACCAATCACATGTATTAATTCCTTGTAACTGGTGCATGTAATTCTTTCTGCCATCATAATTCCATTAGGATGAATGATGTACTGATGACAATTCGGATTGCGAAAACTAGTTAAGCAAGAAAGCCGAAAAGCAAACTATTGAATGCAAGTCTGTTACAGTGCAGTCTGAACTGGGAGGGTTCAATTGTGCTATATCTTGAAAATGAAGATCACCTTACACCAATTGATATTTTCTTTTATCTCGTACATAATACGTTTAAATGGCATAACATAATAGTCATTTACTCTACTGTAAATTTCGAAATGTAGGTCAAAATGAAGTTGGTTAACCTTGGACATGCCCAGAGGTGAGTGCTTCATTGTTAATGCTTTAGTTTAAATTTCCATCTGCCTCTTCTAATTCTATCCACTTCCCTTCGGAATTTTGTACGTGTGGTATCCTGAATGTTGTACTTAAGTTTTCACCACTATATACTGAACTTCAGTCATTTATATGTTTTCGTCTATACCTTGTTAATACATAAATTAATTTTTTTTCATAATGATTCTACAGTAAAGAGACAAGAGAAAAATCAGAGTGGGAGTCCGAAGGGGATGGGAAAGCGTCGCGGGAAGTTATGTTACAGGAACATGCCACTTTGAGTGGATGAACTTGATTGCTGAAGCGTCTAGAAAAGGCTATGGGGTGAGGAAGAGCTACAATGGGATTCCTACAGATATTAGATGAGCAGTTGACGAAGGAGTGGTTGGAAAGTGTCGAACAAAGGAATTGATGCCTAACCGAAAGGTAGCAAGAGAGCACCAAAATCCATTGAACAGAGAAGGAAAATTGCAGAAGCCATTGCAGCCAAATGGGCTGATCTGGTAGTTCTTGCACGTTTCTCTTCTTCTTTTTAACTACATCGTATGAAAATTGTGACATTGATCATAGGCATCTACAGATTGGATTATTCCAACTGATGTGGGTTTTTTGTTTCTTACTATGTGCTGATAGGAATACCGTAGGGTTTGCTCTGGTTGGCAAATATCATGGCATTCCATCGGGGGGCTGAAAGAAAACCAAAGCGGAAGCCAACAGCTGGTACACAGTCCAAGCAAGCCTTTCGAAGCGGAAAGCCAGTGATACAGACTATTCTGCTAGTGAGACTATAAGCCCAATTGCGGATAAGGATTCGAAGAAGAAATAAACCACTTTATAAGGATCCTATGGCAAGTTCCAAGCTTGAGATGCTGAAGAATAAGAGCACAAAGAGCAGTGGAAGAATCAAAGAAAACCGAAGCTTTTGAAAGAGCAAGGTTAGTCTTTGCCTTATTTCCACAAGCCTATTACATTAATGATATTGATCCACATTGATAACTCATTCTGATGCTCGTCTTCCTGCATTTTTTTGGTGGGCTGCTAATTCACTGCTTAACTCAATGGCCTACATATATGACACCGCAGACTTTTAATTGCGAAGCGGAGAAGGCTGCAAAAGCCTTGAGGTCGCTGCAATGAAGAGCCCTGTTGCTCGAGTTTCCTTATAGAAACCAGAAACTTATAGCAGAAGCAATTCAGTCAATTGAATCGATAGAGATCGGGCAGATAACACCCAATGAGAATAGTGGATACATTTATGTCGACTCAGTTGAACCAGTTAGCCCAGTGGAGAACAAAATACAATCGGAAAACGTCGGTATGAACCAAGCGGAACAGAAAGAAGTAAACTGGAACCAAACCCTTTCAATAACCAAGCATGAGAATTTTAATCTCTCTAGCTTTATCATCCCAAAGATAGTGAATGGCGACAGGGATGAACAACTTGCTTCTCCAAGTGCGAATAACCATAGTTTATCAACTCTCAGCTTCGAAACTTTGATCAAGTCTGATTCATCTAAGCACTCAACCAGTTGGAAACAAATGGGGCCTTCGAGCATGAGAAGAATCCTCTGGTAGATGGAACAAAGTTCAGTTGAAGGATGATGGTGTGCCTTCTAAAGCAGTCGCCGTAACCAAGAATGGTTCGTGGTAAGCTTGTTTAAGTCACTGAAGAAGTTTCATAAGGACCATGAACTACACAACAGATGTTCATATGAGTTTCAACATACTGAGCTGTGGATTTATGTAAAATAGGTCAAATTTTGTTTTTAGTCCTTGTACTAAGCATAAGTTGTGGATTTGGTCTATGTACTTCAATTTGGTTGAGATTATTGCGATAGTGGAAAGACGTGAATTTAAGCACATAAGATAAGAAAGAAATAATTAAGAAGAAACTGAGAATTGAGAATACTTTGTGCCTTATTATTGTAGATAGAAAAAGAAACTAAAAGTTCAACATGTACAGAGGGTGAAAGAATTTCAATCTATGGTATTTCACCAGTTGGACTATATTGCAACATATTACAAACTGCTGGGACTGAACTGAAACCAAAACTAAAGTTAAGGTGCGTATAATTATTTTACAATGAAACCCAAAAAAATATTCAAACACGATTACAATCACCAAAAACAATCAAGCGAGAGTTCTAAGGCCATTACATGTAGTCGTGTATTATCAGGGTTGTTGGTCCGTGAGATACGCCTTGGTCCAACCCTGTTGTTCTCTTACTCATGTTAGCTCGTTGCACGAGTCGAACCAATGCTTCGACCACTTCTGACATAGGTGGACGAAACTCGGGCTCCGGCTGCACCAAAGAAACAAGCAAAGGGATCAGTTTAAGGCAAAACAGAGAGAGAAAAAGCTCGTCTTTCATTTAGCCAAAAGATATTACCTGGACACAGAGCAATGACATCTGCAAAACGTGAGAGAGATTTAACCGGTAAAGCCCTTCAAGAGCCGGTCAACCATCTTGGATAGAGCATCGATATCGTGGAGCTGAGGAGTAGCCCATCGAACCAAAGATTGCTCTAGTCTAGGCCTTGTGGTGTAGAAAAAAAAAATCGTATGGTGTCAGAATTGTGATTGTAGCTAACAAGACTGAACGTGGACTACCCGACTTTTCATAGATGATTCCTCACCTGTCAAATGGCTTACGTCCCAGTGAGAAGTTCCAGCATAACCACTCCGAAACTGTAAATGTCACTCTTAAGAGAGTACTGACTGGACATTGTAACCTCGGGTGCACTAAATCCAGACCCCACATCATCACGATTCAGTACCTGCATACCAGAACGAGAAGATATCAGTATATACATAAGCAACTATAGAAACACTAGGCCTAATGAGAACCCGTATCGAACAGAAGGCACGATATAATTCGAAAATAAATGATGTACGACATAGTTGTGTATAGCAAGTGGGAAGCACAATAGTTAACATCAAATATTTACTAGTTTATGAAATAACACAGTAACTTCTAGAATGCACAATGTACCTCGTCAGCATTGGGAATAAGGATGCCAATCCTGAGTCGGAAAGGTGAGGATTGAGCTCAGCATCAAGTAAGATGTTGGTTGACTTGATATTTTTATGAACGACGGATGGCGAGCAAACTTCATGCAGGTACCTGAAAATAAACACCTTTATCAATTCCAAGTAGCCATTGCCCATTTGCAGATATAATAACTACGGTAGGTACGAAAGTCTAACTTCCGAGCTGACTTTTATCACAGAACACAATACATACCGGATCATAATGAAGATATAGAGATTCCTGATAGTCAACAGATACCTACTAGCAACTTACAAATAGTTAATCTGAAATAATAGTTAATCGGATATCAGTAGGTACATTAATATTTTTAACCTCATCAGACAACTACCTGACTTTCCAAGGTTCAAAGGTCTGGTAATACGAGTAGGCAAAAGTTCTACAAATAAATAATAGCTATTGTAGCCCAAGACTGAATTTTCGACTTACTCTACAGCACGTGCAGTCCCCCGAGCAATTTTGACACGGGAGTTCCAACTCAATGGCTTACTGTACTCATCCGGTATATGCAGAAGTCGTGAAGAGAACCATTTTTGTGGACTCATAGACAAGCAGGTGTTGTCCGTGCCCCGAACAATAGCCAACCAGCTCTGTTACATTTGTGTGATGCAACTGGGAAATTATTTGAAACCACCTCCATAAAATCGTCCGACATTCCGCTGGGAAGAGCTAATGAATCTCAATATTTAATATGACTACGGATTTTCTAGGAAGTAAGATTCTACCTTGCCATCGCCAAACTGAGCAAGATTCTACCTTGCCATCGCCAAACTGAGCTCGATAAACACGTCCAAAAGGCCCTTCACCAAGAAGATTTTCAACACTGAAACTGCCTGTAGCCATTTGGAGGTCTGCTATTGAATATGATTTAACATTTGTAGGAGGTGGTACCGATTTCTTAACAACAATAGGCTTTTTATTAAACTCTTCCTCATCGAATGATTTGTGACGGTCGATAGGAGGGGTCGAAGATTTATTGAAATGGGAGTATCAAGTGCCTGGCTGTCAAATGAAGATGAAGACTTCATGGATTTGTTTTCTGCAACACGATTTCAAGCATTAGAAACAAATAGTTAGATAAAGAGAACTGAGAGTTCTCATGTTTACGGTGACACTCAACTTGGCCACCATGCATAATTATAGATAGACTATTAAGTGTTACCGTGCACTTCATTAGAAGCAAGAGGAGCAAGGGATTGATTATCAAGCTTTTCGATATCCGAGGTTGACCTCCTGGATCTTCTCCTCACCAAAAAGAACGCTACAATAGCTCCGACAACGAGGACCGATATCACTATTCCAGCTATGGCTCCACCTCCGATTCCTGAACTGCT